AAATTAAAAGGTCTTATAACTCTAGGTATTATTAAGGGTAGTATATTTATAATTTTAAAAAAGTTTATTAGTTAAAATCTAAGCTTTATTTAAGTTATTAGTAAAAGGGTTTTAAATACTTTTAGATTATAAGAAAGAAAATAAACTTTAGATTTAATTAAGCTCTTTATTAATCTTAAAATACTACTCTTAATAAAGGTATTAGTTAAAATAAATATACCCTCTTTAGGTAAGGTATTTTAATTAGTATTAATTTTATAAAATTTTATCTTTTTAGTTATAAAATTATTATTTAGGAGCTCTTTAATATTAGAAGGGTATTTAAGGTTAAAGTTAGGTAGTAAGGAGTAGGTATAAAGATTTCTTATAATTTTATACTATTTCTTATCTATATTATCTAAGAAAATACTAATCTAGTATTTAAAATACTTTTATCTTTAATTAAAAAAGTAAAGATAATTCAAAATAAAGTAAATATTTATAACTACTTTCTAGATTTTAAATATAATATATCTAAAGAATATAAATATAAAAAGTTCTTTCTTTTATAAAATTATTATTTTTATCCTTAGTTTATTAATAAGTATATATTATAAAATAATATCTTATAATACTTAATTTCTAACCTTATCTTTAAAGAGGTTATTCTAGTTAACTTAATAAAATTCTAAACTAGTTTTAGTAAATAATACCTAGAAAACTAGACCCTTATAATTTATATTTATTTTATTAATTAAAATATTTAATTTATTACCTTATTATCTTTTAAAAAGTTTAGTTAATATATTATTAAAATAGCTTTATAATAATAATATTATATTATAAATAATAAAGTAATTATAAGACTAATTATTAACTTATTTATTAGTTAGTAAATAAATTATAAAAAATAAGTAAGGAAAATAAAGGTTAATAAGCTATTATCTAAATATTAGTCTAATTACCTTTACTTTTTTACTCTTCTCTTTATAAATAATATTAAAATACTAAAAGGTTCTTACTTTTTTATTAAATACTATTATAGCCTAATATATTTTATTATATAAGTTTTTATAAAATAAAAAGTTAATAATACTAATCTAAAACCTAATACCTAGTAGTTTAGTCTATTTTAACTATAAGTTATTAAAATAATATTTAAATAATACTTTTTTTTTATAATCTCCTAATTAATATTAAGTCTATTATAAGTATTTTATAAAATTCTTATTATAAGAATTAGGTATTCTTTAATTATAAATTTAAAAAGAATAACTATAATAAAGTTTCTAAAGCCTTAAACTATAATCCTAAGTATTATTAAGAGTCTTAATCTCTTAGTTTAGTTAGAGTTTATAAGTAATTTATATAATTAATAATATATAATAATATATTACTTTAAATCCTTTATTAAGATATTAAAAAAGTTTAGGACTTTTTTAAAGGACTTTTTAATATTTTCTTATTATAAGCTATTATAATTAAGAGGTTATATTAATTTATCTTCTAGCTAGTTAGCCCTTAAGAAGAAAATTAGTAGTAGTTATAAATAGAATTTTAAAATTATAAGCTTAATTTTTATTACTTCTTCTTAAAAAGTAGTACTTCTTATTAC